CTTCCCCCCCACCAACCCCCGACAACCCACTTGCCCCAACCCTAGACAACTACTGCTAATCTACTTTCGATCTCCATAGATTTGCCTATTTTGGACTTTTCATATAAATGGAATCACACAGTATGGAGTCTTTTAGAACTGCCTTCTTTCACTTACTGTAATGTTGGCAGGATTCATGCATGCTGCGGTTTGCACTCCATTCCTTTTTACGGCCAAATAATATTTCCCTGGATGGATATACCACATTTTATTTGTCCATTCATCAGCTGGTGGGCATGTGGGTTGTTTCCATCATTTTTTTTTTAATTTATTTAACAGACAGAGATCACAAGTAGGCAGAGAGGCAGGCAGAGAGAGGGGGAAGCAGACTCCCTGCATAGCAGAGAGCCCCACGTGGGGCTTGATCCCAGGACCCTGGGACCATGACCTGAGCCGAAGGCAGAGGCTTTAACCCACTGAGCCACCCAGGCATCCTGGGTTGTTTCCATCTTTTGGCAGTGATGAATAATGCTGCTGTGAATGCACATGTAAAGTCTGTGAAGACCTAGGTTTTCATTTCTCCTGGATCTACACCTTGGGGTGGAATTGCTGAGTCATGTTGTGACTTTAACCTTATGAGGAAATGCCACGCCGTTTTCCAAAGGAGCAGCCCAATGAAAAAAATCCTACCAACGATGCGTAAGGATTCCAGTTTCTTTGCATTTTCGCCAGTATTCATTTGCTGTGGTCTTTGATTTTAGCCATTCCAGTGAGTATGAAGTGGTATGTGTCTTATTGTGGTTTTCTTTTCATTGCCTTAGTGACTAATGGTGAGCATCTTCTCATGTGCTTATGGGCCTTCCGTATATCTTTTTGGAGAAATATCCATTCAGATCCTTTGCCCATTTTTTATTTTTTATTATTTATTATTTTTAATTTTTTAAAAGATTTTATGTATTTATTTGATACAGGGAGAGAAAGATCACAGGTAGGCAGAGAGGCAGGCAGAGAGAGGGTGGGAAGCAGGGTCCCCAGTGAGCAGAGAGCCTGATTCGGGGCTCGATCCCAGGACCCTGAGGTCATGACCTGAGCCGAACTCAGAGGCTTAACCCACCGAGCCACCCAGGCTCCCCCTTTGCCCATTTTTAAAATGGTATTATCTTTTTATTTTTGAGTTGTGAGAGTTCTTCATATGTTCTGGATACAAACCTGTCATCAGGTGATTTGCAAACATTTTTATCACAGTCTGTAGTTTCTCTTCTCACTCTCTGGATGGTATCCTTGGATGCACAAAAACTTCTATTTTGACAAAATCCAATTTAGTCATTTTTCTTTCGTTACTTGTGAATTTAGTGTCCTGAGAAACCATTGCTTAACCCAAAGTGACAAAGATTTATAACTTTTTTCTTTTCTAAGCATTTTATAGTTTTAGCTCTTACATTTAGAGCTATGGTCCATTTTGAGTTAATTTTTTTTTAAGATTTTATTTATTTATTTGACAGAGAGAGATCACAAGTAGGCAGAGAGGCAGGCAGAGAGAGAGGAGGAAGGAGGCTCCATGCTGAGCAGAGAGCCCGATGTGGGGCTCAATCCCAGGACCCTGGGACCATGACCTGAGCCGAAGGCAGAGATTTTAACCCACTGAGTCACCCAGGTGCCCCAATTTTGAGTTAATTTTTATATATGATGTGAGGTAAGGGGCCTAACCTCATTCTTTTGTACGCGGATGCCCAGTTGTCAACGGCAATTTATTTTTTAATGAAATACCACCTTTCACAAACCCCAGTGTATTCACATGCTTTGAAAACTTCTGATGTGGTGGAAAGAGAACATTTAAGAGGACAGCAAGAAGTCTAGCTTCTGGTCCCACCCTGCTACCTTCTCACAGTAGAACATGGATCTAGCCCACGTTCCTTCTTGGCGTCACACCTTTCCCATCTACTGAGTGCAACAACATGAGTAGAAGACTCCTAACAGGTTTTGCCCATTAGTTCTGTGCCTGCGGCCTCTTTGTATTTGGACATTGATTGTGGAGGGGGGCTGTTATGTCTTGACACCTCTCAGCAACTGGGCTGAAAAGCAAATTTGCTTCTTGTTACCTGGTGACAGTCTGTGCCAGATCGGTTGCCCTTCATACCTGTCAGTCATGAGTGAGCATCAGAATCACCTGGAGATAAGCCTTCGATGCAGGTCATGATCCCAGGGTCCTAGGATTGAGCCCCGCATCAGGCTCTCTGCTTAGCGGGGAGCCTGCTTCCCCCCCTCTCTCCCTCTGCCTGCCTCTCTGCCTACTTGTGATCTCTCAAAATAAATAAATAAATAAATAAATAATCTTAAAAAAAAAAAAAAAGAATCACCTGGAGGGCTTATTAAAATGCAGTGCTACCTTTCACCTCCACCCCTAGATAGGGGATTTATCTGATTTAAATATTCTGGGGTGGGACCTGATAATTGGCACTTTCTAACGTGACGCTGCTGCTGCTGATCTGGGCTTTTGAACACGCTGTTCCCTCTGCCTGGGAACCCTATCTTCCTGTCTACCTGGCTAATTCCTACCTGTCCAGGAGATCTCATTGTGGCCTCCTTGAGGAAGCCTTCCCTGGCAGTCACCCCAGCTGGGCTTAGGATCCCCTTCTCTGAGGCCGTGTCATGGTGTTGATCACCCTGGATGATGATTGCCAGTTTATTGTCTGTTTCCCCCGCTAGACTGTGAGATCCTGGAGGTCTGTCTCTGTGTTGCCCATTACTGGCTCCCCAGTGCCTAACACAGGGCATGGCCAAAGTTGGAGTGGCAAGAGAGCTTTGACTACCAGGATCGTTTGCACCAGCGATGGCGAGAGCCAGCAGTAGGAAGGTGGGAACAAAGCCCAGGCCCTCTTCCCTGCATTCCCCTTCTGGATTTCCAGGCAAATAAAACCACTTGGGTTCTGTATGGGTTATTTACTGCCACATTAGTACTGCATGACAATCACAAGATGACCGTAAGTGCTCATTACAGCTGGAAGGCTGGGGTTAGTCGGCTGTACTGATCTTGCCTGGGCTCACACGTATCTGGGCATCCACTGGGTGGCTGACGGCTGATCTGGACGGGCCTCAGCTCAGATGATTGAGACACCTGGGGTCTGCACATGTAGCTCTCATCCTCCTCCTGGGTCCTATCACGGGCATGTCCTGCTCCAGGTGATGGCAGGAGGCGTGAGTGAGCAAGACCAGTTAAACGAAGTGCTTAAGCCTCTGTGAGCATCGCGTCTGCTAACACCTCATTGGCCAGAGCAAGCCACGTGATCCAGCGGGGCTTCGGGGTGGGAGTGCAGAGCAGTCCTGCGGTGCCGGGTGCGGATGGTGCGGGGAGAGGGAGATCTGGGGCTATCTCTGTGGTTGCCATTCACGGCAGGTTCATCATTAGCCCTGGCAGTAATCTCCACAGAGTGCTTAAAAACACACCCCTGCGGGCGCCTGGGTGGCTCAGTGGGTTAAAGCCTCTGCCTTCGGCTCAGGTCATGATCCCAGGGTCTTGGGATCCAGCCGCCCATCGGGCTCTCTGCTGGGTGGGGAGTCTGCTTCCCCTCCCGCCTCTGCCTGCTTGTGATACCTGTCAAACAAATTAAAAGACAAAAAAAATCTTAAACACACACACACACACCTGATTTTTATTTATTTTTATTTTTTTATTTTTATTATTTTTTTAATCCTAATGCAGAGGGATGGTTCACCGGGAGGGTGTTCAGAGATGAAGAGATGTAGTAACAGCCTGACCTTCCTCGTGCAGGGTTGGAGGCTCTGGTCATTGGAGAGGTTCACGAGAACATTACTCTGCACTGTGGCAACGTCTCGGGACCAAGGGGCCCGGTAACCTGGTACCGGAATGACTCGGAGCCTGTCTTCCTCCTGTCCTCCAATTCCAGCTTCCCGCCGGCTGAGCCCCGCTTCTCTCTGGCAGATGCCAGTTCGCTGCACATCAGGGCGCTGAGGCTGCAGGATGAGGGCAACTACACCTGCCAGGAGGTCCTGAACGAGACTCGGTGGTTCCGAGTGTGGCTGCAGGTGGCCGGTAAGTGTGGTGGCAGGGGCCTGGGGCCGGCTGGCCAGGCTCGCAGAGCCTTAGGCGGGAGGAAGGCTTTGGAGGCATGCCCGGGTTTCGTCCTGGGCTCTACTACCTGCAAGCCCAGTCACCTCTCGTACCTGGATGTTGTCATCTGTGAAATGGGGGTGAAAAGAATTCTCATGTCCTAGGATTGCTGTGAAGACTGGATTCTGGTTTATGTCAATAAACTGCTGTTAATGGCTCCTGGCACATTAGTTAGCGATTACTTTCAGCTGGTTAGTGCCGTCCTTGCTGTGAATATGATTTTATTATGCACCGTAGTCAGAGCATATAACATGATGGAGCCTGAGTTCCAGTCCTGGGGTTGTGTCACCTTGAGTTAGGAGCTTAAGATCTCAGAGCGTTACTTGTCCTTATTTGTTAATTGAGGATAATACATCATGGACCTTGGTAGGTCTAGTGCTCTTATGCTCCGGTGCTCGCTGTAGGGCTTGGCATGAGCTACTATTGTATAACATGCTGCACTTTCCTCAAACAGTATATTATCAGTGGATATACATGCATGAATTTAGAATAGGGGTTGGCAAACTCGAGCCATATCTGTGGGTCTTATCTGACCTGTGGGCTATGAATATTTTTTACATTTTGAAAGGCTTGGAAAAAACCCCAAAGACGAATGATAATTGTGACATGTAAAAATGATATGAAATTCCAGTGCCCATAAAGAAGGCTTTGTTGGGACACAGCCACGCTCTGACTGCCTTTGGTGCTGTCATGGCAGAGTTGAGTGGCAGTGATGCGGGGTGGGTGACCTGCAAAGCCTAAAATATTTACTTGATGGCCCTTTGCAAAGAAGGTGGTGCTGCATACTGGTTTAGACGGATATCCATGTTCTAGATTCAGAATGTGTCATTTAGTAGAAAAAGACGCGTGATGCCTACCGCTCCCTAGTTTCCTCATCTGTAAGATAACTTACTTATTTCTTTATTCAGTATATATCCATTGAAAGCCTGGTGCTGGGCACTGGTCAAGGCACTGGGCCACAGGAGTGAACAGGACAGACAGGGCCCCTGCCTGCATGGAGCTCACATCCTAATGAGGGAAGATGGACCAGTAAGCAAGTACATGAATGCGTCCAGGCAGTACCAGAGTGATGAGGGCAGAGAGTCGATGTGGGGTGATTCTCTGAAACCCTTTATTTTTTAAAATATTTTTTAAAGATTTTTTTTTTTTAAATTTGACAGACAGATCACAAGTAGGCAGAGAGGCAGGCAGAGAGAGAGAGAGAGAGGAGGAGGCAGGCTCCCTGCCGAGCAGAGAGTCCGATTCGGGACTCGATCCCAGGACCCTGAGATCATGACCCGAGCCGAAGACAGAGGCTTAACCTACTGAGCCACCCAGGCGCCCTCTCTGAAACCCTTTAAATGAGGGGGATCAGAGAGAACCTTTTGGAGGAAGTGACATTTCAGCTGAACAATGAGTAGGAGCCCGTTGTGCAGAGATAAGAGTAACTATAGGAAGAACTATTTCCTGGGCCAGATGAGTTGAGTGTGGTGCATGTACAGATGGGGAGAAGACTGGTGTGGTGGGAGCCCTGTGTGTGTGAGGGGGGTACTTGTGTTATGGGTTGAATTATATCCCTCCAAAATATTGAAATTCCAACTCTTGATATCTGTGAATGGGACCTTATTGAGAAATAGGGTCTTTGCTGATGGAATCAAGTTTAGATGAGGTCATTGGGGTGGGCCCTCATCCAAACTGATTGCATCCTTCTTTTTTTTTTTTTAAAGATTTTATTTATTTATTTGACAGAGATCACAAGTAGGCAGAGAGGCAGGCGGGGTGGGGGGGGGCAGCAGGCTCTCTGCTGAGCAGAGAGCCCGATGCGGGGCTCAATCCTGGGATCCTGGGATCATGACCTGAGCCACCCAGGCGCCCCTGATTGGCATCCTTCTAAGGAGAGGAAAAGGCACGTGAATATGGAGACACCCAGGAAACTATGCCGTAACAACAGAGGCAGAAAGTGGAGAGATGCTGTTGGAAGCCAAGAAATGCCAGGGACTGATGGCCGCCACCGGAAGCCGGGGAAAGAGCGAGGAAGGATTCTCCCCTGCCCTCCTAACACGTGAATTTCAGACTTCTGGCCTCCAAACTGTGAGAGAACCCATGTCTGTTGTTTAAGCCACCACACTTGTGGGATTTTGTAAAAGCAGCCTCAAGAAACTAATACACCCAGCAAGGAATTGAGATTTTTATTGTTGCTGTGGTGGGTGCCGGAGGAAAACTCCCGGAGCTTGAAGCATGGGTGTGGCATGATTTCAATTACACATGCAGGCTGTATGTGTGTGATCTCAGGAAGGACTGATAAAAGTAGGGAAGCCTACTGGTGGCATTAGAGGTTGGTGGCCAGAACCAGGGTGGTGGCAGTGGCCTTGGTGAAATGCACAGCTTCAGAAATGATGTTGGAGGTAGACCAGTAAGACATGCTGGTGGATTGGAAGTGGAGGATGAAGAAAAGCGAGGCTTCAGGGACGTGTCTGGGTTTTTGGATGGTCTCTAAGGTTTCTGCCAACTCTGAAGGCTTATGGAATTTGGGACTGCAGTGGTTTTGCTTTTGGAGATGCCACAGTTGAATGGCTGAATTGCCAAGAATGAATGTGGGTGTATTAAAAATGTCACCCATCTTGGCCCAGCTCTGTTCAATTCCCACTGTGAGCCCATGGGCCACTCACTCCTGCTGTCAGTCATTAATAATTCCTCATGGCGGTCTCCGCAATAAAGGCCTTCTCTTCTGACCACAGAGTAAGATAGCATTACAACGTGTTGCTTTTTTTTTTTTTTTTTTTAAATCATCACTCTCCGGTTTATGGTGACTTTATCTGACATTGATTAATCATTGGCTAAGTTTATTGGAGGGTGGATTAGTTTCATTATTGCCCTGTAGGGACATAAATGCAAGACCTTTTTATAATGAACATGAACTTAAATCTTAAAAGAATCACTAAATTCAAATGGCTCTTGGGGCTCCCTGAGTTACTGTGATGTGATTCGTGTTACGGAACATCTTCATTTGGACACATACGGTGTCCCCAGCTGGTGTGGGCTTATTTGTGAAAACTGGATGCAGACCTAGTTTGGGGTGCCATAACCACAGTAACATAGGCTGCGTGGTTTCAACAACAAACACTTCTGGCAGTTCTGGAAGCTGGGAAGTCCGAGATCAAGGTGCCGGGAGATACAGAGTCTGGTGGGGCTCACTTCCTGGTTTGTAGATAGGTCTTCTCATTGTGTCCTCAGTTGATGAAAGGTAGAGAGAGAGAGAGGAAGGAGGGGTCTCTTCTTAGAAGGGCTCCAGTCCCATTCATGAGGACTCAACTCTCATGACCACCTTATCACCTCCTCCCAAAGGTCCCAACTCCAAATATCATCATATTGGGAATTAGGTTTCAACATGAATTTTGGAGGGGATACAAGCATTCAGTCCATAGCACAGATGTCCTGTGATTTCCCACATACCAGAGCCCTCCAGAATCTCAGGTCTTAATCCCATTCTAGGACAAACCCTGGCAAACACAGACCCCTCCAGGTATCAGGGAGCCCCTTGCGGCTCCTCCTTAGACAGTGGCTGAAGGGGAAGCCTTGACATCTCAGATGGGACTCGGCCTTCATTTTGCATGGAAGATTTTGGAATATGGATTAAGCCTAATCCATTTCTGGGAGGGGATGGCCATGGTACTGCTGGGTGGCTGCGAGCATACACTGAGGTCCAGCTGCCTGCATTCAAATTCAAGTGCTGGGGGCTGTTGTCCTGGTGACGTTGAGAAAGTCCCTTGAACTCCTCTCACTTGTATGCACTTGGTTCATGTTACCCTTGACCACCTTGTTGAACCAGTGATGGGTTTCCTGTGGGAAAAATGCCTCTCGGGTTCCCAGCAATCCATTAACACCCAACCCTTTGGAACAGGGACCTTCTATGGGTCAGGGATTCTGCGTGTCCTGATCTTGCTTTTCCCGTCTTTTCACTGACGTGGTTGATAACTGAGTCTCTTAAGGAGAAAAGTTTGGAAACATTTGAACATGGCCTTGGAAGGGAGGGAAAAAAATTCTGAGATGTGATGAGTTGTTATCTGTAAGTGACTTTGAATGTGTGGCCAGAGGTGCCAGAGAGACACAAAGCTGGCTGTATACGGGCCAGTAGCTTCTTCCTCCCTACCGTTGAGATCACTGGCTGTTGATCGGGGGACATTTGGTGTCTCTGCCTTCCAGGGACTCGGGTTTTCTGTGCGCCGGGATGATTTAATATGCCTGGGATGGGCACTGCGATGTGATTTTGTTATTTGTCTCAGGATACGAGACTGTACTATATTACTTGCTAATTTAATGTTGCAGTTGAAGAATCTTGTCCTCTGGATTGGGACCGCTGCTCCTGAGAAGACAGGAATCCTTTAGTCTAGAGCAGTTCGGGGCTGCCAACTTTATTTCATGGACTTACGCACCCTCTTCTGCCTCCAAATTTGGGTGGGCAGGAGGTTAGAACTGCTGTGTTTACCTGCAGGAAGGCTAGAGGGATGGGCAAGGTAGCACAGACCAGAACACATGCCACTAGACTTTGTTCTTCTTTAAAGATATCAGCTCTCATGCACTAGTGAGCGGAGGGATCAGATGATCCCATGGAAGCCTGCAGTCAGACTTCATGGTACGTGGTGCCAGGCTCTCGCCGTGTCAGTTTTTCTCAGGCCACTCAAGTGTTGAGGGGACACTTGAGCTGGATGGCACATGGACTGTGAGGAAGCTGGTTGGTATCGAACTCCAAGAATCTCTTTGGAGTCAGCTGGGGAGTGCTCCCATCTAGCGAGTGATGTGGCGGTCACATCAGGAGAGGCCAGGAAGGGGCCTCAGGAAAGTGCCATGTTCCCTGACTAACTGGGTTCATCTCTTTGCCCTCATCCTGTAATGCCGAGGGTGACGCTGTGCCCCCTCAGAACATAAGGTCCTCAGGAAAGAGTGTTCGGGCCGCACTGAAGAAAGATTTTTTTGGTTCCCTTCAGAAAATGGAGGACCCTTGCCTAGAGATTGATTACCTTGAGTCTTGCCAAGCTCATCTGAAGCAGAGATGGGTGCTTTTAAGAAGCTGAAGACCTCTGGGGTCCAGCTCTTTGGACAGGAACAGCCGTCACCTGGGAAATCGGGACGCAGTGGGGTTGTTGTATGTGTTTCTATGTTCAGTCTCTAAAAGTGATATCAAAAAAGTCTCTTTGAAGGGTGTCTGGGTGGCTCAGTGGGTTAAAGCCTCTGTCTTCGGCTCAGGTCAGGATCCCAGGGTCCTGGGATCGAGCCCTGCATGGGGCTTTCTGCTCACCAGGGAGCCTGCTCCCCCCCCCCCCCGCCTACTTGTGATCTCTGTCAAATAAATAAATAAATAAAATCTTTAAAAACAAACAAACAAACCTAGGGACGCCTGGGTGGCTCCGTTGGTTGAGCAGCTGCCTTTGGCTCAGGTCATGATCCCAGCATCCTGGGATCGAGTCCCACATTGGGCTCCTTGCTCAGCAGGGAGCCTGCTTCTCCCTCTGTCTCTGCCTACCACTCTGTCTGCCTGTGCTCACTCCCTCTCTCTTCCTCTCTCTCTCTGACAAATAAATAAATTTTAAAATCTTTAAAAAAATAATAATAATAATAAACTAGTGTCTTAAAAAAAAAAAGTCTCTGTGAGTTTCCCCAAGGATCTTATCCCACTCTAGAACTATAGGTATGCCCACTCATTAGCACAGACTACCTGATACATTTTTAGGTCATTTTCAAATCAAAATGCTAGTCTGAAAGCAGATGCCTGATGACAACTCTTCCTGTTGGCGGGGAACCCAAGACATGGAATGAGAATCTCCCACCTGAGTTATAAGTCAACACTGTGAGACCCTTGACTGGCCAAACTACGTTTATGGAGGGGAAGGAAAGAAGCGAGTTGTTCCCATGTCAGGAATGTCCACGGAGAAGAGGAAGGCAGTGGCACTGGTAGATTGTTCTAGAACAGGAATCCAACTTTTTCTGTAGAGGGCCAGATGGTAAATATTTTAGATGGTATGGCCCGACGGGTAAAGTCGAGGATGTTATATAAAGACTTATATAACAAGAGTGAAAACACACTTCCACATTTTTAAAAAAAGATTTTATTTATTTGAGAGAGAGTATGTGTGAGCAT